GTGTGCCTTGGCAAGTCTCAGGTTGTGAAAAGTAACTTACAATTCTACCCGTGGTATACGCTCAGTATATCACGGCTAACAACCAATCAGATTGCTTGATTTGACTTGTCCATTTTATAATTAGATGTATACACATTTGTTTTAGATTTTCCTTTGTGTATGAGACAAGGAAATTCCTTTTAGAGACTTTGAGGCTCCAGATGTGTTGCCATCTTGTCAATGTCCTGTGAGAAATATCTGTAAATGAGGTTGGAATCGCTGAGACATTTCCTTTATGGTAACAGGATAGAATGAACTACTGCTAATATGTAGTTTTGTCAACTCCCTCTTCATTCAGGGAAGGTTGTGGACCCTTCATCTCCTTAAACATCAGCAACCTGTGCATGGTGTGTCTCTCTTATGAAATGTGTCCTGAAAAAACCTGCAGACCCTGAGCAAAATAACGGATTTATTAATGTGCAGATGACTGTCTTTCAAAACACCTTTGGTCTCTGTCACCATGAGTGCTTTTTGGTCATCAGAGAAGTGTCTCCTGTCGTTAAATGCAATTGCACTGATTCTTGAAAGGAGACTATGTTATTTGAAGTTATTGTTAATATCCCACACCTGAATGAGACAGGACCTTTACGGAGGATTTGTTTTCAAAAGCAAAATCATGTCTTTGAGAGCTAATTATTTTCCTAAATAATAAAACACTTACTAATAACTTGATTATAGAATATTTACCTTGTGATAATCTACCACATTTAAATATAAACTATTTGGGATGTTTAATGCATATTGGTAAAGTCTCATAAAGTATTCTATTTGATATAACAAACGTGAAAAGAGCATGACTGTGCTACTTTGATTCAGAGGCAGATGCTTACCGATAAGTAAAATGTGAGCTGGCCCATCAAAAAATTGGTTTCAGGAGTGTGCAGAAAGTATATTAAAAAAGAAAACATTACAAGTTGATGCTGAGAGAATGATTTTACACCATAGCTAACATGGCTTTCTGTGGATGTTAAAAAAAGTTAAACGTTTCTAGTTTCTTATCATCTTGTACAGTTTGTAATTTATCATGGTTATTGTGCTACAAGAACCCAAAAATTCCATATCAGCCTTTATCACGAGACACTTTAAACGATGTTACTAGGAATGAATTCACTTTGTTGTGTCAACATGATTAACAGACATAGGCCCATCTCACCATCCCAGAATCTCCGGATTATTTAGAAAAAACAGGAACGTGGACTGTTTGACAAAAGCCAATAATTAATGTGTTGCTTAGCCCAACACTATTTATTTAACAGAGATAATTAGACTTTTTTTAAATACATTAATTATTCACGCGGTTATCAACAAAATACATTTCCTATTTTTTAAGGAAGTAACGGTTTATTCACTTCATAAAAAAGTGAAAAGAAAAACAAGTGACTTATAGTTATGAGTGAAAACGTTCAAGTAGCAACAAAGGTTGGGGTTAGTCGCCATTAAAAAACGGAAGCCTTGCGCAGTGGCCCTGCCTGGATTCTGTCTGGATTGATAACTTTGGATTGGCACTTTTAAACAGTCTACGCCGATAACTAAATACTGAGGAAAGAAAAAGTTACCTTGTATATTTACTGGTCTCATGTTCTCTTTTTAAGAATAGAAAGGTAAGTTATCAAGAAAGAAAACATTGTGTGTGTATTTGTGTTTCTGACTGCCGACTATGTGAGCTAGCGCTAGCTAACGTTAGCTGACTTAGCTAGTTTACATTACTAAAAGCAACAAACGTTTACATACCTTCCATGGTTTGTATTCCCTTTAGGTTGTTCTTAAATGCTGCTCTTCATATAGTATATTAATATATGTTAAATTATATATTCATAATGAATCTTGTGCGGCTGAAGGAGTCTCTACACACCCATTGCCATGGTTACATTTCCTTCTAGCTGGTGGCTACATGCAGCATTAATTCGACCAAGTGTTTTTTTAAGACGATCTGTTTGCATGCCGTAGTCACAATGCAATATGATGTGAGGTAAACATGCCTTTTATAATGAAAGGCTCCCTGAAATAAAAAAGCAAATAAAAATACAGCTTAATAAATTAAACAGCTTTTATTTTCAGTGTACCATTATTTATTACCATAAGCACATACAATATGTTAAATTACCAAGAAAGCATGCAATACATTATTTTTTTAAGGACAAATAACCAAGAAAATATATCTTACTTGAAGACATTCAAAATACCTTTTCAATTGTTCTACATTCCACAAAGTTACATCTTTATTTAAAAACCCTGAATTTTCAAAACATAGCTCGGACCCTAGAAAACACACAACACTTGAAATACAAAAGCAATGGTGGTCAATGAAAGGATATCTTAAGTATTAAGTGAATTGACCTTACCCAAATCTCTTTTAAAACAAGATAAAAGCAATACGAAAAGAATAATTAACAATTATAGTAAACATCATAGATAAGTTATGGCAGTAGCAGTTTACAAGTCTTACATGTCAGATTATACACATGCTACAACTTTTAACAATAATGGAGTGTCACAGTGTACACAATAATTATATTCTCATAACACCTCAAGGAAAAGTCCTGTATTTAATACTGACTTAGTCGCTGAATATGTTGCCCCATTTATCAATGTATAAGGTTGAACCTTTCCTTGTGATTTGTGGTGCTTGATATCTTCCCAAAATGTGATCTAAACACAAAAAAATTGTTGAATATGAACTCATCACTATCGACATTTCTGTAACTCAACAGCCAAAAATATATATGATTAAATAATTTCTTCTCTGCACCTCAAGTGAATGCATTCAATCTCCTCTGTAACAGGCATGGAGGAAGTCCTAACATCCATCTCATCCACAGCCTTTCCAGGGTCATACGTGGACCTCCAGCGCATCAGTACAATCTTCTTAAGGTACTTAACTGTGTTGTTCTTGACGCTGACAAAACAGAAGGTATTGATCATGCTGTTGCTCATGGCGATGCACTCGATGATATAAAAAGCAACCAATGAGTTCTTCTGGCGGGAGATTAGTGTTGGGTGGAAATCTCGTATTATGGTGAAGGCATAGTAAGGGGCCCAGCACAGGATGTACGCCGTCATGATCCCGATCAGGACGATCACTGTCTTGCGACGACAACGCAACCTCTTCCTAATCTGCTCCGTCTGGAAACCTGGAACACTCTTGAACCAGAGCTCGCGGGAAATTCGGTAGTAACACATAACCATGATGATCACAGGCCCAACAAACTCCACAGCAAAAACAAACAGGAAGTAAGAGCGGTAGTAGATTTGTTGGTCTACAGGCCAGATCTGGGCACAGAAAACTTTGTGAGTTGTTGGGGAGTTGCCACCATGAGGATAAATGGTCTCAGAGGTGAAGTAGGCTGAGGGAATTGATATCACAATAGGAACAATCCAGACTCCTGTGATGAGGAAGTAGGCGGTTTGGTACTTCATACGAGGCCTCAGAGGATGGACTATCGCCATGTACCTGGAAGAACACAGACATATTGATGGATTGAATGGCAGGGAATCAACTCCTAATAAAATGCAGTCAAATTAACCTTTTTAGCAGTCTGTGTGCTATGTGAAGTCGATAGATTTGACCTATAGCTGTCTACCACTTATGGAAGATTAAAGTCCAATAGACATTGTAGAAAAAAGTTGTAGAGGCTTTCTGCCACTCGGAGCACAATCTCTTATCCATATTTAAAGTGTAAAGCAAAGGGTACAAGCTTGAACTAACATAAACAAAGTTTGTTAGAATTGTTTACACTGGTGTCTTTAGAAAACAGTAATATAATAAACTCTGGCATCCATATTTAATATTGATGTGTCAGCTGTACAAAAGCAAAAATTATTATTCAAAATTATCTCTTTTCAATATGTTTAGATGTCTATTGATTGTGTTGTTCACAGACACTCCATTAAAGGTTAGCATGTAATGATCTTGCTGATTTAGTTCATCAGCAACATCATTCCAGAGCATCCTCTTAATGAGATTGTCATTGATATACTGCACCTAATGTGGGCGATCTTGAGCTAAATGTCAACAAACAATAGATGGATAAGTGGTTAATTTGATGAAAAAGCGACAAATACACTTCAAATAGCAGCTAATTAAAAAAATGTCTCTAAATTACCAACAATTCACTTCAATACGTTTTCTGCTGCAGTATTAACATTTACACCGCCTTGAAATATATTTACAATTTATTTTTGCCGACAGAATAAAATACAGAGCACCACCAACTAAGAAGTAAACGATTACCCATTACCTTGGCAGCATGCCTGGGGATTCTCCATAATAGTCTGCACTCAGTAGGCTGTTGTGTGTTGTTAATATAAGTAGGCTCACACTATGTAAGGAGGAGTATTGAATGAACAGTTTTATAATAATCACTTGGCACACTCAACCATTATCAGCCACAGCCTTCTTATTACATTTAAATCTCCTTACAAGGCATACTACATTTTTAAAATGCTTCTTTGTGAACCAATCTGGATGTTTTGTGCCCTCATGCACAAATGTGTCACCCTACATTAATGTGTACAGTACACTGCAATGTAGTGCAGGGATATGGAATGGAGGTAGTGGTGGAAGTTTAATTTGGGAGACTTGGATTCTTTAGAAGTCAGTGTTTTTTTAAGCTGAGAAAACTGAACTTTCTTTGCACAAAACATGGGAGGGAAGCCTAAAGGAAAGATAATCTGCAAAAGTACTCAAGTATCCTACAAGAAAGGCAAAATGCAATGGTATCCATTTGAGTCTCTAAGACGCATTGTTGCAGAACCTTGGATTTAAAAAGTTTATATAAAAAAAAAAAAAACACAGGTGCAGGCAATTAACCAGACAATTAATTACGACGTGAAATGCTATATGCTTTACAGCAATAAAGTGCAGATTAACTGTGGCTCTCCCAAGGGTCATTTTCTTTAGCATAATTGATCAAGCTTTGTAACTCCCAGGAGCCTTTTTTAGTTTATTTGAATATAGTCCTTTTTTCACGGCAGACAATTTTTAATTGTTGAAGAAAGAGAAGCACAGGTGCTTCTAATCACATTAACAATGGCTTTGTCATATCCAAGTGTCCCTGTGACAGTAGTGAGTCAGCATGCAGAACCCAGCCATAATTAGTTTTATCATTTGCACCTGTGCTTTTTTTACTGGGAGAGGTTAGAATGTATTTTGTGAAAAGGGCCTTTTTAGAATGTGTATATGTGATGTTACCTAAACCCTTCAAATATCTAAATTTGCTCATCCACAAAATAAATGGTTGTTCTATAACTATTTATCTGTCTTCTACAACCCTTGTCTTTTCCCACCTACATTCTGAAACCATTATTGTGAAAAAACAATATCTAACCTGCTTAAAGCCTACTTGTAAGCATGATTTTAAAGATTGAACAGATTGAGTTTTGACATTGGCTGATATGCTCACTAATGCCTCAGGGTTCCCATTCCTTCTCTTACCAACAGCTATTTATCTGTAACTTTGGAGGTGATTTCCACAACTTAAACTTAGATATAAGGTATCATACTTTATAAAACGGACAAGTCAAATCAAGCAATCTGATTGGTTCTTAGCCGTGATATACTGAGCGTATACCACGGTAGAATTGTACAGTAAGTTACTTTTCACAACAAGTCAGTATCCCTCCGCGTCTGAGAAAAACATTGCTTTTCATACTGGAACAAGAAAGCAGCGGAGAAGTAACGGGGCAGAAGCCCTCCTTTTTGACGCAGCGGTCCAGACATAGACATCAAACGGCAAAACATATTCAGTGTGCAGTTCCTTTGGCATTAGGGCAGGGATATCTAGATACTTTTGAAGGTTTGACATAATGAATTGTGCTACTTTTAAAGCAAGCAACGATGTTTTCAAATCTGTAATCAAAGAGGTCCGCAAAAACGCTATCGACCAATCAGATTGCTTGATTTGACTTGTCAGTTTTATAAATATATTTAAATTTCTTCCGTTACGAAACAAACTTACAAAGCATAAAATGGAAACATTTAAGATTAACTTCAACCTCCGGGGGGGTCTTACTATAGTAGGGAGGAGTGGATTGAACAGTGCCTATCTCCAGAAAAAAAAAGCACCTAAACTACGACATGCAGAGCTACGTGAAGAGCAGGTAGACCAACTGGAAAAGTACCACCATTCAAAAGCTTTCTGATGCAGGTCTTGAAACAAAGCAGAGAAATGATGACCGTTAGTGGCCACAGGTGCGAAAGCTCTCTCCAGAGCTACTGGAAGCCCAATCTCGGGGACCGGAGAAAGTGGAGCAATATTCTCGCCACGCCAAGCAACAGCCTCGAACAACCTCAACCTATACAAGTGACCACGTAAGCCATGCTACTGATGCTGGACAGTTTTTCAGTGGATGCACAATAAACAGCAACATACACATTAATGTAAATAAACAGCCAAATAATGGATCAACGCTCTCTGTCTAATATGTTCGCTAGCTGTTAGTGTTGTTGCACCTCGCACTATGTTTTGTGCAGAAGGCAACGGAGGGACTATTTTATTTAGAACATCATTATTTACTAATAAAAACTATTTAAATTAGAGTGTGTATTTTTCTTTCATATTGCCACACTTGGTAACCGTTTTATAAAAGCAATAGCTCACTTCAGGCCGTGATATATGCTCATTATATCACAGCTAAGGGGGTTGTTGACCCTCCGCTTCGCGTCGGCCGAACCACGCCCCTTAGCTGTGATATAATGAGTATATACCACGGCCTGTCGTGAGCTATTGCTTAATTATAATATACTAGGTGCCAATGCTTTTGAGGGTAGGATGATATATAGAAATACCCTGTACTTGATGTTTAGTGAACAGGACAAAGGTTTGATCTTCATCCTCGGAGTCTGTGTGTTTCATCATTGCTAAATGTGTTCCTACAGACACCTTCTGTCCCTTCACTAAAGCCTTATCACAAGTACTTATTCAGCTGTCTGTCTATCTGTAGACAGATTTTTTTTATTTATGTGATAGCCTCACAGACCTGCATGACTCATTCACCAAACTTGACAGTTGTGTATTTGAGAGGTTCTATTTTTAAAATGGACAATGTCCAGGTTGGGAGGGCAAAGGAGCCATTCGCTCATTCGAGGCATAATTTGCCAAATAATGCCTCACGAAACTTGACACTTGTGTAGTTGAGAGAATGACGGAATAGTTTGATAGACATCAGACTTTAAGCCCCTGGCCCGGATTGTCAGGGTCTCTGGTTTGGTATGTAAAACAGCATGATTTGCTTGTCAAACCGGTTGGTGTCTGATGTATTTTGAGGCATGTGCCAGAGGAAGACTAAATAAATAATGTACCTGGCACAGACTGATAAGGATGAACAAATTAATCAGGAGAGGATCTGTGCCTGTTGCATACTGAACAGATAGCAATGGTACTGTTTTAAAGCTAATTAACAGTTAATAATGAATTAAAGCATGTTATTTACATAGCCTTTGAAGCATGAGTGATAGTGTACACTGAACACAACTCATTTATTTTAATAGGTTATACATCAACATGTATCTGAGTTACAGTATAGGGTCAGCTTGTGCCATAAAAGTGATTGATCAGTGATTAAAGGAAGAAACAGTATGGAGTAAAACCACTGCATGTAAACTTCAAGTGTATTTCTCATTAGCAGCTGCAAAGTAGTTCAGCTATATTGACATGTGGTTAGAGGTTGATCATAGCTTGGTTTAATCACTTGAGATTACATGTGAGAAACATTTATTTTCGAACACTGTCCTTTTTTTTCTTCAGTTTCCCGTTTAAATCTAAGAGGTCAGTCAACTGTATTTTCCAATAAAAAACAGCAAAATTAAAACGGGTCTTCATATCTTTACAAAAATATCTTGGATAGACAAGACAATGTACAGCTAGAATCTCATATCGTCAAAGATAGAACAGGCTTTATTATTATAGATTTTGTGATGCTCTTTGAGGAGAGAATATTGCCAGATGAAAAAAAGTGAAAGCTTTATTGATTTAAATCTCTGTCGACAATGCTTGAAGGTTTTTGAGACTTAATCGATGTATTGCACAAAGCCAAATAAAAATAAAAGTAGTAACACACTCACCTGTCAATTGCAATGGCAAGCAATGCGTTTGTGGACACGTAGAGTGACACTGTCCGGAGATAGTTGACGGAGGCACACAGCAGTAATCCATGATCCCAGGAGAGCTTTTTCACCACATAGTAGTCCAAGAGGAATGGGCAGCACACAACTGCCACTATGAAGTCTGAGATGGCAAGGTTTGCGATGAGCAAGTTGGTGAGGTTGCGCAGCTTTTTGTAGCGTGTCAGCGTGGCAATGAATATGAAGTTCCCGCACCCACAGACAAGCATGATGCAGACAAGCACCACTCCAATAACAATGGTGGCCACAAAGAAGGCCTGGCCCTGCGTGGTGTCTGGGATCTCATCCGGAGGGATTCCATAGTCCATATCATAGCTGTCCATGTAATGAAGGAGATTGTCCTGCATCTCTGTACAAGGTGCTACCATGTGGCTGAGGTTGGAGTCGCCCATGTTTTAGCAAACTATCTTTTCCTTGTTTAGAAAGACTAGTATTTAAAAACAACCTGGTCCAGCAAATTAGGGCTTAAGTTTATGATTCTTTCTGGTTCATGGTACCAATCATTCCAAGAAAACTAGCTCAATTATTTGACTGTTGAATTCTGAACAGGGTGAATCTTCTTTGGAAACGGCAGCGCATTTTCACCTGGAACAGAAAGTTCCCTCAGCATTACTCATGCAGGGTCAGGGTTCAAGAAGACACTACTTGATCAAAACAGGTTACATAAAGTGCTTGAGGCATAATAAATCATGCTGGCATGTGTGACATTTGGATGATATTTTCTGTCAACATGTTTTAGTGGGTGAAGTAATTATATCTAGCAAAGACCTGAATGTAATATATGATGACAGTCTTTTTTTTAAATCACAGACTCAGCATGATGACGGGGCATTTGATTTGCTGCAAAAGTTGTCACTTAAATCCCCCTGCAAGCATATGAGGTTAAGCTAAAATATAATATAAAACCAATTAAAATATCTATTTAGCCAGATTACACCAGATTTATGTTGAGAAAGTAACACAAAGCAATTAAGTTCAAACTCATATTATGTTAAAAAGAGATTATGTTTTATTTCTAATTGCCCGAAGATCTCAAATAGCTTATTTTAACCATGTTAATTATCATTAAGCGATCTTCTCTGAAGTGGTATTGCTTCATTAAAATAATGAAAAAAAAGTTATAGCTCAAGGAGATCAGTAACGGTCTATGTTAATGCAATGCCATGCAAAAACTATACATCTGCAGAACTGGAAGAAACAATTACTTGTATTAAGAGCTCTCGGATAGTTTATAAAACCAAATGTCTATCTATTTAGCAGGTGCTCTCAGTCGAAAAATTAAGATAATAGTTTTCAAGAAAGGACGTACTTACAGATGAGACACCTTCTCTTACTCTATTAAAATAAACATTAATCTAAAATGGGTTTCCAGGGATAAAACCTAGAAAATTAAAAGAAAGCTTATCAAACACTTACCGTAAAATGTTGAAAAAGGACTTTTCTCGGCTGAAAAATGTAAATAAATATTATTGACGGCTCTGTGTTATTTGTGATACCCAGGCGAAGTGCTGAAATAATAAAAAATCCCACCGGTGAAGCCAGAAGGTCACTCTATCAGCCTCAACGCACACTCACGCTGTGATTTCTATCTGCTGCCTGTCCGCTCCGCTCTCCTCAGGAGGGATTCCGAGAAGGGGAGGAAGAGGAGGGGGAAGTTGCGTCTGTATGCTTTCTTCTTTCTTGACTGCCTCAAGTGAGATGTCCGCAAAATGAAGCGAGGAAGAGAGAAAGCAAAGGAGGTGTGAGACAGGCAGGTGCATATGTGTGGTCATTGGTAATGAGAACTGTTACAGGTTCACCAGCTTTATAGATGTTAAAATGTTAACATGATGTTCCTCACATTAAAGGCTGGGTTAACCTTTACAATTTATTTCAATATTAACTGATAGAGGACAGAAAAAGATTTCAAAGTAATGCATGCAAATGATAGCAAATGACTGGTCACAGGATGTTAGCCTAATTTGCATAATGTTCAATTTTTTTTTAAAGTTTGACCCTTCCATTTTTTTCTGGTCAGTCCACCATTTTCTGCAATCCCACAAGCTCCATGTTCTCGTTGAGAAAAAGTCACTTGTCGCTCAATAAAAAGACGTTAGTCAAACCAATGGGTGACTAGGTCTAGTTATAATGGCAACAGTCTGTAGTCCTCTGTGCGTTTTCAATCTGACAGAGACTATTTATCAAAGCGTGTCTCCGAATTCCTAGTTATACAACTTCACTTTGTGACCCTATTGGAAAAAAAGATCTCAAGCATGGCAGAACGATGGGAATAGTGATTATAAAAGGAATAATTTGCTTACATATTCCACACATTCAATCCAATGGCACATGTGATACGAGGAGTGGAGCAGGACCCAAACGCAGATAATACTGATAATACCTTTATTTCAAGGGCTCTTATCAAAAATCACTTGGAAACACAAAACACTCCACGGTGAACTCATTCACCAACAAAAGACGAACCAACACTGAACACAGGAAGAGACAAGACTAAATACAGGGAGGGGTAATCACAAGACGAGAAACAGCCGGGCAGGGGAGGAGAAACACAAGGGCCACAGGTGAACACAATCAGACACACCAGGGAAACTAACGACGGGAGGAAAAACACAGGGAAAAGGACCAGACAATAACCCAGGAGGAAAACATGACAGGGAGAATAGCAAAACACCCAAAGCTAGACATAGAAATGTGACATGACATGAGAATTGTGATAAGATGATAGTACTGCATTTTTTCCTTCTCTCTTAAAACAGAATCCTTGAACTGAATTAGACTACTTGTCCAAATAAAGCTTTAATAAACTGACCCACTTTCATTTTGAGCTCATCAAAGATATTATTAACAAAACAATATTCTGCTTTACACCTTCAATGTTCCAATACCTGTTAGTGGAAATTGTCTGAGAGGGATGGTGCTTGAATGCAGATTATTTGTAGCGAGCCATAGCGTTAAGTGTGGCATGATGTCACAAGTGCACTCCTCTCTTTCACTAAACATGTTTGATATTCACACCTACGAATGTTCCTGACACTGATTGCATAGTGGCATTGGGAAAAAAGTAATCCAGTATGAAATGGAATATATTTGCCTACAATAAACAAGAAACCCTGTCTGAATGTATACATTGAAAGAAAAGTTATTTCAATTTTTTTATCAGCCCTAAACTAGATTAAGTGTTACTGCCTTGCAAATAAACTTTAAAATGCAATCCCTAGTATCTATAAAACTAATTAGCGAGATTTTGAGGTTAAATGTCACTTTTTTTTGTTTTTCTTTCTGGTCTGGGTACATCTATGGACAGAGCTGTCGCCACCGTATCTCTGTGTTTAACCATGCTGAACAAACGGTGATCAGACACAGACAGCAGCCGTGATGACACTCTAGGATCAATTCCTTATTGTGATGAAAAGCTAACACTGCTGGGTTTCGTATTGCCTCTGACAATCATCTGCCAGTAGAGGCGAGATAGCTCTGTCTGTCCTCTTACATTGAGTGCAGAGGGCTGGCTGATATAAGCGGTTCCGTTTAAGCATAATAATGGATACCAAGAGTCAGGAGTGGAGCAGACCCCTTCTTCTGTCATTTATAATGAACACCGAGGGATAAACACTTTTTTCTTTTGAACATATCACCCCCTTGGATCATGAGAGATGAGAAGGCCCTTGCATGTTTCCAAGTTTTATCACCCTCTAAATATTAGGGGCTGCTTACTCGTCCTTGCTAGTGTCTGTCCCTGTAGCCCAGGAGGCTTGACCACAGCAAGATAAACACTAGGCTCTCATTTCCAACCGGACAGCTTTCTAATCTCAACCACGCTTCAGATGTATTGCCACTCGTAACAAATGAATATAGATGGGAAATGACAGCAGTGGCATCCTGGCTTTCTCTCCTTACCCATGGAGAATACGCTCAATACCTCTAATCTGTGGCCCCTGCTTGATGTTGGACAGATAGTGATGTCGTTTATTAGGGACAATGTTATGGGTGCTAAGCAGCAGTGAAACATAATCCATAGAAATATACTGTTTATATGGGATTTATATCTGAATAGAGGCCATCTGTCTTGGCAAATAGTCGGTTAGGCTCGAGGACACAGAAGTGTTTGTACAACCTCATTCCTCACTAACAATTCTAACTGTTTACTTTTTCCTACTGAATTTCTTTTTCATTTGCTTTGATTCTGTCTCTATTGGTGAATGCATTTGGGTGGCAGCAAGTAAACATCAGCTTAATATCTGTCTGGGTTCACTTGCTACGGTGTGAAACAGGAAATAATGAATATGCTTGTGGGTGCCTTTCATACTATCCCTAGAGAAAAAATGTGTATTGCCATTTACAGTAATTACTTCAAAATCATCTAACTGGATGCAGGTTCAAACCCTTAAACGCCACTGCAGACTTCCTCTTGGCGGGGGCGGACTGGGACTAAAATTCAGCCCTGGAAACTGACCCAGTCCGGCCACATGAAATGTCAAATGTTAGAAATCCGCTGTTTATTATTTAAAGTTTTACGTCCGATTCGCTCCTTTCTTTCCTCTGTACACAACTCCAGTTTGGGCATTGGCCTGTCATCAGATTTCATTTTTAGTTGCTGCTGTGTAGCGGAAGTTTAGTAAAATTATTTTTGATGAAATACTCCAAATCTCCACCCTCCATAATTGCACTTGCTTCAGTTGCTTGCTACTTTTTGAGGGCAGTGATGACAGTTACAATTGTTATGGAAATCTTAGACCTAGTCAATACTGTGGAGATATACAATTAGAATGTTCAATCAATAAACTGGTGAAACAAACAGAGTTGTCTTTCTGGATCTTTATTCGAGGCGCCTCGAAGGCACAAGTCTCACAGAGTACAGGGTAGTCTGCAGGAGTGTGCGCTATAGTCACAGAATAGCAAAGCTATACAAGATAGGGCGGGCAGACAGAGTTTTTGTGTAGCTAGGCGGAACGCCTCAGAAATCTGCTTTCACACGGATGTCTCATATTGTTATTAGACACCTGTGTCCTTGAGCTGTAGAAAGTATAATGGTTATCAGAATATGGAAGTTCAAACTTTGTGTGAAGAGGAGTAGTTTCAACATAGTCTGCCAAATCAGCTCTGTGCTCTTGAAGCGCTTAAGAATAATAACCCTCATTAGAGTATGCACAGAAAACAGCATACATTATATCAGGAAATGGTACAGTAGTGTTAGAAAATGCTTTTAGAAGCATTTGGTTTTAGCATATAAGGTAACATAAGAAATTGCCACTACACAGTACGAACTGAAGTTGATGCGATTTGATTGGATTGTGAGGCATGACGTGAGCCTCATCTGATTGGTCAATCCCTCAATTTTTTTTCATCAAGGGAAGCCAATAGAGTGGCGAAGTCCCTCCCCTTCCGGGGGAGCTCCATGGGACCTTATTTTGAAAAAGGAATGTATTGAAGTCAATGGAGAGAGAAAAATTATCTTTCGTTCCCGTTTGAATTGTGCCACGAATTACACAGATGTTTGTCAATTTATAAGATAATTTTGCAAGTAAAAAAAATAAAAATGTGTCGTAAAACTTTGAAGTAACACATTTTGTTGTGTGAACCGCTCAATGACCTACATCTCCCATCTCGCACCACACACCAAGACGGCCGTCACGTTGGCACATTTAACTTCTTTCTTTCTAGTTGCGTATTTTTCATAGTCTTATATTTCAACAGTTTTACGACAAACTGTGACTTTTTTGACATGGAAATTATTATTTAAGATTGACAAACATCATATGTGTAATTCGTGGCACAATTCAAATGGGATCGAAAGATAATCTTTCTCTCACCATTGACTTCAATGCATCATTTTTCAGAAATAAGGTCCCATGGGGCGGAAGTAGATGGGCCCGACTTCACCACTCTACTGTTTCACCATAACATCTAGAAGGGTGCTGGTTTCAGTCTTTTGGCTAAAATACTCAAATGAGAACGGGGGAGAGATTGGGCCGCAGAATAATTACCGAAACTAAACGAAGTGTTTTTATTTATTTATTAAAATTATAACTACAATCCAAAAAAAAAAGGGGGAACGCCTGGCTTCCCTTGGGCGTCCAGGAGAAACGCCAACTAAGTTCAAGGGATAATTCTCACCCACCTCTTGCTCTTGCCCTGCACTTGCTATGTGCCAGTTATGAGCTGGTTCTTGTACCAGTTGAGCTGGTTCCTTCCACGCAGCTCAACCTCGTCCCTCATCCCATGAACGCAGGAGCCTGGCCCGTATATCTGAACTTGCGTCCTCATCATTCTCTTCATGTTCTTGCCACTTGTTCCTCCTCTCTGAAAAACCCAGCACCTTTCCGTGGTAGAGAGGTTTGTGTGCCCTGATGAACGCGTGGGGGATGAGTTGTCAAGTTCGGATATACAGCACTCCGTGTGTTCATGGTAGGACAGTGTTGAGCCATGGTGCAAATACGGTCTCAGGGCTTAAGATCTGGTGGTCAAAACCAGCTCACTGGCACATCAAGTGCAGCAAACCAAAGAAGTGGTGAAGAATTATCCCGTTGAACCCGGAGGATGCGCGTGGTTCTTCTGGACGCCACGAGCCCAAAGCCAGGATTCTGCCTTTTCGGATTGTTAGTGTATAATTTTAATAAATAAGTAGAAACACTGTCGGTCTTGCACGTTTCGGGTTAATTATTTCGGCCGAGCCATCTATGCCCGCTATTAGAGGTAATTTTACGCAAAGACTGAAACAGCCCCCTTCTGCGGTCCCGTGGGCCCACACCTACCAGGACAACAGCCGATGGGGTCGGGTGCCGCTGCCAGAAGGGTGGGCACGCTGACAAGCAAGAGGATCTCGACGGACCAGACCCAGCGCGACAGAAACTGGCTTTTGGGGACGTGGAACGTCATCCCCCCTCTCTGGAGGGGAAGGGGGCGGAAGGCTTTGCTGGGGAGTGGGAGCGTTAAACAGTTGAATATGGTTGGCGCTCACCTCACGCACAGCGTCAGCTCTGGAACCTTACTTCCTGGATAGGGGTTTGGACTCTATTCTCTCCGCGCCGTTCCTCGGTGTGGAGCGCGCAAGGGCCGGGTGTGGGGATACTCACGAAGTCCCCGGTTGGGTGATTTGTGATGGAGTTTACCAGTGGAGATAGGCAACCGTCGCTCCTAACGCCTGCGGCGTTATGGGGGGAAACTCTGCTGTTCTCGTGTGCTTATGCACCAAACGCGCCCCCAACTTCGGAGTAATAACCACCTTCTTGGAGAACCCGCCCTGGAAAAGAAAGTCCTGTTGGGGNTGCTTCAAATCACGTGACATGTGACGTCCGAACCAGCAACTGCTTCATTTCCTGAATGAATCAACTCACTGGTTCGCCGTCCAATCAGGTGATTCAATGCACTGCCTCGTCTCTATTCTGACAGGTGACAGGTTGAAACAGTTTCAAATTTGAGCGCTTCAACACTTTATAACCGCTCTAAACAATGCGCAATGTGTGGGTTGTTGTCGTAGTTTGCATTGTTGCTGTTGAGTTGTTGTTGGCATTGCATTTGAATTGGATCATTATAGAGCAAGCCAGGAAGAAAAATAGGTCGTTCTGGCTCGTGAAACACTTCAAAATGTGGAGAAGTTGTGAACAAAAAGACAATGAGTAATATAAAAACACTTCGGTGGTCTAAGGAATTGATAGCCCAGTGGATAGAGCCGGCGGCCAAGATGCGGCGATATCCTCCGCGCAGCTGGTTCAAAGCACGGAATAGTTAAACTTTTAATCATGGCTTTTCAACTTTAATACTTTAATAACCGATAAAAGGCCCTCTCCGCCCAAAAAAATGTCAAGCACTCTCTAGTCTCTTCTCAATAACCCAATACACACTATTATCAATCTTTAATTGCAAATAGAACATGATATTCTGTGTGTGTGTGTGTGTGTGTGTGTCGAATATTTTTCAAGGCAAAGATACGTTAAACCCACTGCAGCCTTGCACTTCGCCAGGAGAGGTCGCTGTAACTGAAGCTTCGAGAAATGAACCTATTTCCGACACATGGTCCAAGTGGTTCGACGCTTCATTCAAAGCTTCATTTTGCCATCACTTGTGGTGGGGATCGGCGCCCGCTATCTTTCTTTCTCTTTCTTCCTTTCGCTCAAAAAATACGTCTCGGACTCAGTGCTAGGCTATCACCTCCGCTTGCTGAAGAGTAAAGGATTGTGATCAGGAAGCGAGGCCTCGTTTTATACGGAAGTGAGATGCGCACGCATTCAGGTAGGCCCGCCCTGGGGCCGGCTACGTCTATAGAAATTTCAGTCGGTGAATGCTTGCATGATAAGGTAGTACCCATAGAGTCCAGTAGAGGGCGGAGCCTGTGAGAGATATAACATAACACTTGCTTCGAGTTCCCTAAGTGAAACTAGGCAATGGTAAATATTGTTTCTCTGTTTCTGTCTGTAGGAAGGAAACTGGAAATAAAAGATGGGCTGTGTAAGACATCCTGACAGTGATTTATATGAAAGAGGGACAAGGGCACAGTCCTTGTTTTGTGTTTACAAAATTACTTCTAAAGTTAATCTCAAGGTAATGTGAGACTGCAGCTGTCTGAGTTAGACAAGTTCATCAATACCTATTAAAGTCTTTATAATCCAACATCCTTCTATTTGTGTGTCCGCTGTTTCTTCGATGAGATTCGGCAGGTAGATAGTAAAATAAAGATGGAATTTATTACAACAACAAAAAACATCTACGCTTCAGAACTTATTTTACATAGACATACTCATTGCACTGACATCAGTTTGAGAAGGGGCTAGTTACTATCTGTGTCAACAAATTTGCATCTGATTATTGTTTTTAAAAAACTTGAGAACATTTAAAAGAGATTAGAAATTTGAATTTTTAAAAACACTTGCACCATCACAACAATGTCATTTTCATCAAGTTCATCAATTCAATCCTGAATCCTGAGTACTGGATCCTATGTCCTGGATCATCTATCCTGAGTTCTGGATTTGAGTCCTGGACTTCGAGTTGTGGCTGAACCATAGGGCTGAACCTATCACTGCGGTCCTGCCTGACTCTCATCATACTACTTCCCTGATGGTGCCCACAGGATTGTTGACATCCTCGTGGATTCACCTTCTTATTATAGACACATGCATTTCCAAACATTTGGTCTACCTATGCTGTAAAATGTATTATCTCTTCGATTTACACACGGCATCTATTTTACGTCTGTCCGTCCTGGGAGAGGGATCCCTCCTCTGTTGCTCTCCCTAGGTTTATCCCATGTTTCCCCTTTAAACTCTGGGGTTTTCTCTGGAAGTTTTTCCTTGTACGATGTGAGGGTCTAAGGATAGAGGGTGTCGTATTATCATACTGATATTCTGTATAAATTGTGAAGTCCACTGAGACAAATGTAACATTTGTGATATTGGGCTATATAAATAAACATTGATTGATTGATTGAAAAGCATACATCTAGTGTTTTAATGACAATATAACTATAAAGCAATATTCAACCCTCACTATGTCTAAGGATTTTCTGTAGTAGCTTATATTTCATACTGCTGCTTAGCTATCCCAATCTACCCTTGAGCTGTGGGCTTTGCTGGGGCCAAAATATGCTGAAGTGATGATGTAAAGCCATTCGACGTGTGTTTCATTCAGCCGTTTTACAGACAGCTTGCTAGATCTGTCTAGAGAGGCATTTTAACTGACCTTGTACACAACCCGCAGAGAGCGCTGCAGGGCAGTAGCTCTTCTGTCTTCCTCATTGTTTCATCACTCTCTCAGGACTGATAATTGTTATCCTGTGCGTTAGGGAAAGCATGGAAATCCTAAAGGGAAATAACTTGAGGAAAACAAGTTGAGGCTCTCGTCTTACAAAATAATGTGAGAAGACACTACATCTTTAGAGATATCTTGCCTGCAAATCAGGAACATTGCCACACTTGTCTCATTTGAATATTGGCAATTACTTATCTTTGATTGTTTTTCTTTATTAAAACAAACAACACAATCTCTAAAAATAAATTACATTTTTAGATCATGATTATACCCTTAGTTGCTCAATTGAGGTTGCTTGCTACTCGTTTTCAATTTGGACATAAACAAAAGTAATACAACCCCAAAACCATGATTAAAAACATGAACTCAATTATATTTTCACAATAACTGCAGGATTCCCAGCTGCCTGCATATCACCGAATACATATTTGTAGGTTGCCTTTTGTAATGCTTTGGAGAGAATGAACTCAACACAATAGCACTTCTAAACAAAACACAACCGTTTTTGTTTTCAGTGATGCCTCAGTGTGTTAACACTTCGAGCAGGATTGTTCTCCACAGTCCACACAATTTGCACTGCTGGAACGTTCCCCTCTGTCCTGGTACTGGGCTACCATCCAATCTGCCATATCAAACAGGGCTCAACAAAGTCGCTGACTAAGAACCAAAATAATGGAGTATGACAACCCAGTGCTTTCGCGGACCTGCCAATTGTTTGTTATGGTGGTTCTGCTTTGTCATCACCAGAGTGGCTATTCTAATCTCTGCCACAAAGGCAACAATAAACTCTGGAAGGCCCCAGGCTCGTAGCGTGCGTGGCCACAGCTAGGGGGAGGTTTTGGGGGTTATTTCGCCAGCAGCCAGTGCTGTACTGCGTTTATTCTAGCATGAGACAGCCAGGGGTGAGCACCCAAGTTTTCACACAATAAAGGTGCCGAAAAGGACCGAGCACTCCGGGGATACCACCAACCCAGGGAGGGAAGCGTACCACCATGTACAAGACCAGCTACCTGCACGAGGTGCGCAAGGAGAAGTATGAGCGCTCAGATGTTTTCGATGAGGAACCTATGGACTCTGAATCCTCTGCGGGCATCTCAGCCATCCAGGGCTGGGAGAGCCTTCAGGAGCTCAACAACCGCTTCGCCCGGTACATCAACAGGGCCCGGGTCCTGGAGCAGCGCAACGCCGTGTTCCGCAAGCAGCTGGAGACGCTGCAGCGGATGGAAGAGGCCAGCGGACTGGAGGAAGCCTTCACAGAGCAGACTGATGTCAACAGGCAGCGCATCAGGGAGCTGTCCTCCGACCGGGCCAAGCTGCAGAGAGATCTGAAAGAAGCCTGCCGCATGCTGGATGAATTCACCACCAAGTAAGAGAGTGGGGAAGTGTCATCTAGTTTGGAGATGTTGTGATTAGAAATCTAAAGAAATGTTCTCGCTATTAAAAAAAAAAAGCGATAGAGAGCTTTATCCAAAAGAAGAAGATGATTTTAATGGTTCTCCTAAATAAAGATTATTTTCAGCAAATCATGAGGGAAACTTTGAATTAAGAGATACTCATTGTCAGAATGGATGTTAAGCTACATCTATTAATGAATTGCCCCATAATCAGGTCATCATACACTGTGTTTATAAATGCTGTGTTCTGAAAGATGTTTGCTCATCACAAAACACGCCACTGACTAAATATCGAAAATAAATATTTTAACCATTAAAGGGCAAAGGGTCAGTCCACCCAAATCACACAAAAAGGCCTAAAGGCATTTTCTCAAACAACACTAGTGATATGCATGCCTGAACTAAAAATAAATGGAATTTAATTTAAATTGCTCATTCATTAAAGGCAAAATGTTTTAACATGTAACATTGTCTCCTTGTTGTGTTGTGTACAGAACACACTTTCAACACTTTGAATAGAGAACTGTTTGTTTGAAAGAAGTTCCAGTGAAAACTGTTCACAATGAGGTTTGTGAATAACCTCTTTCAGGTGTGATCGCCACAAAGGAAATTCCATTAACCTCAGTGTTATTGATGATGTGGTAAACATTTCAGAGGCACATTTTTTATAACATGGTCAATAATATGGATACATACCATTCAAGAGAAGGAAATATAAGGTTTTTATTCTATTGTATTTAAATGAACCAAACCTTTATTTAAACGAGCTACACAAGTGGTTATAGGCAACAAAGCATCCCTAAATTATTTGTTTAGAAAAATATTAAACAACTCTAACTCTGGTGTCACTGAGACGTGAAAGACAGAATAGTCATGGTACAATACAGAGCTGAGCCTGTCACAACACAGACATACAATAAGACTCAAAATAACACACAGATTATTCAAGGTAAGTTTTCTTACATTATAAAATACAGCAGCCTAATGTGATAAAGTCAGGCTCTTTACACATACTGAAATGTATACGTTTTCTATTCTAGATACAGAAATGAATGTGATTATCAAGAGCAGCTCCGGGGCACACTGGAACAATTAAACAAGGTACTGTATGAATTCAATTAAGAATGGTTATACAAGCATATGAACTGAAATAAATAGCATTTGAATGATTCTGTATCAGATTCTCCAACATGTAAACAAACACCTGTGCATGTGAAACAAGACACTCAAAGTACTACATTTGTTTTATTATGTTTTGTACATATTGCTTAAAGAAATACAGAGATTGAATTAGTACTTTGAATTTTTTTAATGAAAACTTGTTTATGATTACTAAAAAAATAACATACCTTAAATGGTACAGTGTTATCTGGCTCTTGATAAACTTTACAGTGAAAGTTTATTTCCCTTTCCGGTTTGGTTTGCTCTCCTCCCCTATAGGAGGCTGACAGTGCTCTGCTGAGAAACCTGGAGTACCAGATCCAAACCCAGTTTCTGCAGGACGACATCAACTCCACCAGAGACAGGCACAGGAAGGTGAGTGGCCCTCATCGTTAATATCCAAAATAAACTAGCCTGAGAAAGAAAACCAACTGTTGCAACTCCATGGTCTCAAACAACCCTACACCAGTGGTTCTCAAACTTTTTCTGTCAGGCCCCCCCTTTGGAGAAAAAGAAAAGTCAGGCTCAGTGGCGTCGCCAGAGATTTATTTTGGGGGGTGCTGTGGGGTAGCTTGACGTTTCATAGAGGGTGCTCAAACATTTAGGGTTTCCCATTAATGTACCGGGCGCTACAGTGGAATTTTCTACTGCAACATTCCCCACGGAAATACACAGCGTACCCGCAACTGTTACAATGAATGCTCGATAATCAGCTCACGGCATATAGGTGTAAGCAGGGGTAAAGTGCTATTTTTATAGGTGGTGTGTGGACCTCACATAGGGGGGTCCGGGGGGATGCTCCCCTGGGAAGATTTATTTTTAAATATTGAAGTTAAAAGCATCAATCTGGTGCACTTTGAGAGCAAAATGAAGAGATCCATGGATACCTCTCTCAACACCTACTGTATATGAAACAGAACTGTAAACAGATTTACTTTTTCTTTATGGATATTTTACAAATCACCCTTTTAAACTTTATTCTTTTTTTACTGTCATATAGTATTTCATACCTGTTTTTCATTTATTCTCTTATTTTTTTATAACTATAATGATCATATAAACGTGCGCCTCGGAAATAATCGTTTACATAAATGGTGACCAAAACGTTTGAGACCCAGTGAGATAACACTGAGAGAGTCCTTTAGCTCACTGAGTCTCTCAGTCTGACAGGAGAGGACTCTCCTCCACTTTGTTGTTGAAAAACTCCTTAAATCCGTTAGCGTAGCTCTCTCGCTCGCGCACACAAAATGGCTCGTTCCACACACACACACACAAACACACACACACACACACACACACACACACACACACACACACACACACACACACACAGAGCCGAGCTTTAATGAAACACAGAGACACAGACGTAAAAGTACTGTACTGCATCATATTATTTTCGAATCAATCATTTTTCAATTTATGATTTTTTTTTTTTTTCATCTTTTTTTTTTTTTTCAAAACCATTTTTCGTCCTGGTCTCTCGCGCCCCCCCTGGCATGCCCCCCACTTTGAGAACCACTGCCCTACACTAACCACACCTTCCAATACATATAATCAATCAATACAGTTGCCCAAAAGGAAGCTATTCAGATCCCAATCAAATCTTCTTATTGCCATGTTCAAAATAATCTTTTATATCATCTTTCAAAACCAGATTTACAATGTGGTTCAAAAGGGACAACACCAACCTAGCTAAACAATAAATAATGATAATGAAATGTCTCATATCAATATCATACATCAATGTTTTGCTATCTTATTATGTTTATCGGAAATTATATTCACGTGGCATTTAGGGTCTCTCAAAGTGTATTTTCAGTTTATCATAACATTTCTGGGAATGGAGTTGCATGTAAGTGCTATCCTTATTTGTTCCTAGTCTTCTTTGAAGAGTCTATGCTTGTGCACAGTATACAATATGCATTTTTTCAAAAGAAAGCATGAATAATTTAATTGGAATGCTCTACAAAGCCATGTTGTGTTAGTACTGTAGCTAAGGGGAGAGTGTTGTTTTCTTTCAAAAACTGCTCATGTAAAAGCCACCCACTGAATAATGGCTTCAATAACTCATCATTCAAAGCTGTTTTTATCTCTGACATATTGTTTTTTAGAAAATGTAACACAGGTATAGACATATGACAATGAAGCACACAGGAGGGACAAATAGTGAAGTATGACCCTCTGTGCAGGAGAAATGGCTTGAAGGTACATCCCAGCGACCAGAGAAATATGCAATATAAAAAGAAGACTTTCACATGATGCATCTGGCTACTTACTTAGCATACACTTTCTAGCCTGAGCAATTTCTCCCTTTATATTTTCCCTTGATTTATTAAACCATGACTGCAATATTGAGATAGCATATTAAAGGTCTTTCTGCTGTCACTATGTCATGAGGGAAAGAATAGGTAGCCGTCTCACATGAATATAAGACATTTGCTCTTAGGCGTTTTCATAGTGTCGTTAGAAAAGAGGAAATATATCTGTGCTTTATTACTGAGTCTGAGATCGTACTTGTACAAAATAGATTTGAAAAGAAATGCGAGCTCCATTATAAAAGTATATTTCCACCAAATGAGAACCTTTTATTGGATATCAAAAACGTAATAAGCAAGAGGTTTGTGATAAAGTGGTTCAGTTTGCTCAGGGATGTTTTTACTTTTGCTGAGTTGTATATTTTAGGTTTTCCTTTTTTTTCTCTCTCTCTTTCTCTACAGAACATTGCAGAGATTCAGACCTATGTAAATATTTTACATCAGATCAACCAGACACTTCCCCTTGCTCCCAATGTGTCACTGGGCATCTCTGAGGTGAGGTCATTCATGTTGTCACTGTGTGGGTGTGTGTGTGTGGGGGTGTGTGTGTGCTGCAGTCCCTTGGGGAGAAGATGGTGTTTGCATGTGTGTCATCCCTGGCTCCGTGTCTGGGGTTGATGAGGTTACTGGCTCCTCAGCATTTGTCTGTGTTTCAACTCGTGAGTGTGTGCACGGTTCACAAGGACCTCAGTTTCAGTGTCAGGACAATTAATGAAGCAAATGTCAGGAAGAATGGCTGTGGATGCTAATTTATTGCATTCATGTCACAGATTGCAGTTGTATTTATACAAACCTTTCTCTATATCTACATTTCCCTCTTCAAAAATTGTGTATTTGTTAAGTAAAATCTCAGTGAGCATGCTTTGTTGAGCTGAAATCCAAACAAAGAAGGAGATAATGTAATATAATATAAGCTATTATAGTCAAGCTGTATGGATTGTGACCTGATTTAATTAATGGAAAACCAATAAGTATGGAAATCATGGGAATCCTATAGTTTGGCCTTTTTAATCACCAGAGAACAGAATAATTTAAAATCCAAGGAAGGTATACTGTACAACACTTAAAACATGTATTCTTGGAATAAAGCATCGTTAACCATTGTGTACAAGGGAGGCGTGTGGAGCAGTGGAATAGTGCGTTGGTGTTCGGATCAGGGGGTCGCAGGTTCAAACCCCACTGCAGTCAGCATGTCGTTGTGTCCCTGAGACACTTCACCCCAAATTGCTCCCGTGGGGATTGTCCACAGTATTGAGTATGTAAGTCACTTTGGATAAAAGCGTCTAACAAGTAACATGTAATATACAAACAAACTGGGGACCTGATTTAATTCATGGAAAAACCATTGAGTATGAGAATCCTATAGTTTGGCCTTTTTAATCCCCAGGTAACAGAATATTTTAAAACCCAGGGAAGGTATACAACACTTTGTTAACCATGAGTACCCAACTGTGGGGGAAACTTCTGAAGCAATTGGAAACAGGACTCAGAGAGACACGAGCAGAGCTGGAGCTTTGATGGCAAACACTGATGGTTTATTTGGAGTTACGGCCGGAGAATTGAGAAGACAGTTGGTGTGCCACGAGTTGACACAGCGGTTGCCAAACCAATTCTGAAGAACTCTTCTGTAGCTCGAGGTTTTAACTCGGAGTGTAATAATCAATATTATTTATCAGTGAGACTAAACAATTATGGACCCTGAATCTAGCTAGAGCTCTCGTCCATAGTACGTCAGGGAACCTACGTCCCTGAACAGTAAACTACCTCATGGCGGCTTGTGCTCTGTCATAGACTGGCAACAACAATGGGCCCAAGCTGCCCCTCCTTAAGAGAGAAAGCAGCGATATCCAAGGCCGTAGACCTATGCCTTGGGAAAGGAGACAGTGAGAAGAGAAAATGATTAACTTTGTCGAAGTTGAATACCTGAGCAAATTATTCCCTAACACCAACTAAAGCTCTTTGACAGCCACTGTTTTTGGGTTGTGGACACTGCACTCCAAACAATCAATAGGATACACTTAACAGATAGACGAACAGAAAACATAACTGCAGTTAGCAACACAATGGCATAGCTCATTTATATTGAAAAAACAAACAAAAACAGTCAGTAAAGCCTAGATAGACTTCATGAAGAGACCTGACTGCAGCGGTGTGTGTAAGTGTATGTGGTGAAACCTTTATGCTGTAAAGACACACTCAGCCTGTCTGCATGTTCTCATTGTTCTCCCCTTGAGAAGGACCAGGAGAAGCTGCTGGCCCAGAGGAAAGTCCCCGCTCTGCAGAGTCAGCTGGAGGAATATAAGAGCGCCCTCTGCCAGCTGCAGGAACAGAAACAATGCCTTCAGACCGAGGTGGGTCACACGGTCACCATGACAACACAAGGTTTTACGTTATTGAAATGCGTGACATGTCTTCATTTTTCTTTGTTTGCTTTTTTATAACTACAAAGCAAATATTTGCTCAGGCACATTGAATAATTATTTCTCAAAGGAACTAGATGATTAGAAGAAAGGCAAAGGACACTAGGAACAGTTCAAGCTCCTGTTTACTGTAACTCATTCATAACTTAAAAAGTAAGACAGCTTTACATTTGTTTGGGCTACAACTGATAACATCTCATTTTATTAATTCATCGAAAAAAACATATTTGTGTAGCATGGACCATTCATTTTTTAGCATTATTCCCTTAAAAAGGAATTAAATGTTTAAGTGACGTAAAATGACCAGTTTATTTATTTTTGACAATTTTGAATTACAAATAAATGCAGCAATACTAAACTTTTCGATTATTTTTTTTCACTTTGTTTTAATAGGTAAGACAAAGCAAGAAATGTAATTGGCATTAGCTCTGCAGCAATTTAATGTTAAAAGCTAGATGCTGCAAAAACACCACTAGATGTCAGCAATGACCAGCTCATTACTGCAGAGGAGTAGGAGGTTCAGTGTCGGAAGTCTTCCTTCTACTGTGTGTTCAGTTCAATGGAATAGAATATCACACAAACAAATGTGGGTTGTATCAAACTCACCACATTGTGAGTCTCTATAGGGTGTTTTGCATTAAAAACAGTGTTGTTAATTTATCTGGAATCAATGTTTTTCTTTATACAATTTTATATAAAATACGTTGGACACAAATTAATTTCAGTTTTTTCACGCCTTCTCACTTTCATTAGAAACACATACTACTGTCAAATCTCCTCAATGGACTTTGTAATGTTTTAAGTCATACTTTTGCAACTAATTTCCCCCTCTTTTCTCCTCTCAGACTACAGTGTTGGAGCAAACCATCAAAGGTACACAGGAGGGTTATGACAATGAGAACCCTCCTGTGTACCTTTGATGGTTTGCTCCAACACTGTAGTCTGAGAGGAGAAAAGAGGGGGAAATTAGTTGCAAAAGTATGACTTANTCGAAAAATAGGGAAAAAGGCGCGGCTTATAGTCCGAAAATTACGGTAGTTGCAAAAGTATGACTTAAAACATTACAAAGTCCATTGAGGAGATTTGACAGTAGTATGTGTTTCTAATGAAAGTGAGAAGGTGCGAAAAAACTGAAATTAATTTGTGTC